CGAATTAATATTAAGGGTGGCGCATCATTGATTACAGATTACAATGGTAGATTATAGGGGCGTAACAGTGGATGGCCAGATCTGCCAAAAATCGACAGTAAAACACCGATAATTCGAAAGGCGGCGAGACTAGGTGGCAGTCATCGATGAATCATCGATGATTTATAGGGTCTGAATCGTCGATGGCGCATTGCAGACTAATATTTTCTAAGCCATCAATAGTAACCGTTTGTCCAAACTGCGCAGTGCGCGAATGAATTTACCACTGTAATTTATATAACGTAGAAAGGAGTTATGGGGTTGCGGTTCATTCGAGATAAAGACGAAATCATGGCTTCGTTCCGTGTGCTTGGCTTGTTAGATTTCAATTCGAGTAAATTTAGCATTATTTCGGTAGGTACGAAAAACACTGACCGATAGAAACAATGTTTTCACAAATCTTTCAAGCCAAAGTGAAGCCACTTGGCATGTATTAGACTGCTCCTGATATGAATTGTCCGAATAACGGCGGAAAATTTTGTTGCAAAAAAGTAAGTTTTTCAAAAGATGATGGAAAATCAAATTTTCCCTGTTCACCTAATATATTGCGTATATTCATTACGAATTCATTGCGTACACACTAACTTGCTGCGTTTGAAATATTGCTTTCAATTGAGACTAATTTATTATATCATTAGATATAAATTGTTTGAATCGATTAAGTGTGTAATAACATTTATAATATTCTTAAGTTCCCTCCTTTATCTAAACTATCAAAGTATATATCTATCTAAAGCCAGGTTGACGTATTCTACAGGGGCTTGACATCTCTAAAGCACAGCGAGCGAGTGGAGGTTCGCCAACCCAACACGTTCACGTTGGGGTGGCGCGCGTTGGCGTTGAGTTCTTTCCTACTAATATCCTGCTTCAAATATGTGTTTATTGCTTGTCAAAAAGTATCCTCCTTTACGCAGAGGGATACGAGTAAAAATTTGGTTTTCTGTCGCTGATTTCGATAGTGAAATTTGTTTATTTATGGGAAATTTTCTTATATCGTCATATAATTATTATTAGATTAAGTTTTCTAATAAAGTGGTATCTTTCTAATAAAGTGGTATCGGTATCTTTCCTACGCAAAAGATTAAAGATAAGGCCAGAGAAATATGGTGACACGAAGTGATGACGGTAGTTCGCGCCAAACATTTCAAAATCATCTAGTGATATAAATTACTTATTTCACTCAAGAATATTATTGGTGAAAAAATTTCCAATCCAACTGCTGCCAAATTGGTGTAATGTTCACATTTTGCATCTTCGATACTTTATACTTACTTTAAACACTGTATCAATACTTTAAATACAGTCAACCAAGGTGACTTCGGCCACCACTACAACAGACACAGATGGCAGCAAAACAAAATAATAAACGTTGGCCAAAGTCACCACGGTGGCCAAAGTCACCCCAGTCACCTTGGCCAACGTTTATTATTTTGTTTTGTTGCCATTTGTTTCTATTGTAGTGGTGGCCGAAGTCACCCCAGTTGAGGGCACTTTAAATACTACGGGAAAATACTTTATTAAGTATTTTTCCGTAGCCTTTACTCTGGGCTGAACCATTGTTCTTTATATTAAGAAAAGTTCTTTTAGCAGCTGTTTACTCGAATATAGCAGCATGTTCAAATAAAATTGTTAATGAAAGCATCTAATCATTACGGTGGTACCACAATTTCTGTCATTTGATGAACTTGATACTTGCAATACCTCAATTGAAATCTTTTAAAATGGCTTGAGTGCCAAGTCCTTTACGATGGCTCATCGGTAGAAGCTTGGCTTCGCGTGAGGGAGATCAGAGTTTGAACCCTGCAGGCATGGGCTTTTATTTAAATCGATTTATCATGAGGTCTGTTTATGGTACACTGATAATTTGTTCATGCTACATGTCTGACATTGTTACTTGTACTGCCACGGTGGATTTGCATACGTAGTACTCAGAATATGGGATCGTACGACGCAATATCAGTAAATGTAAATGCATCAGAAAATGTAAATGCACCTCATTTTGACCATCGGCGGCTCACCGATGCGCCACCGTTATCAATCGGCAGTTATTGAATGGTGGAAGAAGAGTTTTTCGAATAGGGTGGCAATAGGCAGGTTACTGGTGGAATGGACATGCCATCGATATCGCATCAATGCGCTATTGGTGCTCCACCTATAATTCCCACCTATAGCCACCAATAAACATCGATGCCCCACCAATACTTTTTATCTAGGAAATTTTGAGTTCTGGGGAATTTTGAGTTCATACTTCAGGCAAAGTTTTGAGATTAAGTTGAGACGTGCATCAATCAAGACGGCAGCGCACTTACAGAGAAGCTCAGGCAGTTTAGGCCAAGGTTTCAGCAACATTGGACCTCGAGAGTTTGAAGCCTTAATTATTCTGGAGAGCAATGTTATCGCATGGAAATATAATGAGGAATTGAAGTTGAATTAGCGCAGAAATGAACCGAACATTTCAAACTCTGCTCGTGCGAGGGAGCCAAAATGGAAGCAGCAATACCGAGAGCTCACAATACAATAATATAAAGAAAGAACACAAAGGTTACTCAATCACGCATAAAAGGTTCCTTGGAGACGTGACTAGATTCAGGGAGACATGACAATAAAAAGTCGGAGTCACGGGAGCAGTAAACCTTGAGCCATAAAAGAGAACTGTCGCCAGTGCTGACGAAGAAGAATGATTCTTCCTAAGAAGAAGAAACAAACGACACAAAAGTCTTGAATTCATTAATAACAAGAGTTAAACTAACACCAGAGAATTAAAAAATTGAGCTAATTTCACTGTTGACATCCGTCGAACTAAAAAGCAATATATTCCTTAAATGATTTTCTATTGTTTTACAACTTAAAAAAAATAAACTTTAAAAATGTTGGTGCATCGCCACTTGGCGTCGCTCCTGGTAATGCAAGGTAATTAAATGAATGATTTGATTATTTGATTTTGTCAGCCCTAGATAAGTTCTGAAGTAAATAGTGACGAATGAATTGCAGTCACAAACAATTCATTCCATTAATATAACGGCAAAAATTTCATTATATATAAATATGCACAAATTAACTTGCTATAGCCAATGAGATATGTTGATAACAAAGCTTAAGCCATCAAAAGAAGCTAAGTCTAACGCAAAATTGCGGCATCAGGACTCACTTGAGCAGTTGACTTCATGGATGGACCTGGCCCTGGTGCCAGGCACTAGCCCATCAAATTTATTGATAATAAAGCTTAAACCCTAAAAAAGTACTTAGTCTAACTCTAACGCATAATTTATTGTAGCTAAAAATTACGGTATCAGGACTCACTTGAGCAGTTGACTTCATGGATGGACCTGGCCCTGGTGCCTGGCACCTCGTACCCAGTGAGAGGGTCAGCGCAGTAGCAGTGGTTGGCGCGGCACTGAACGGACACGAAGGTTCCTTGCTGGTCGTCGCAGTCCGGCACCTGCAGCTCTGCGGCACTCAGGCCCAGAGCACGGCCGTGTCTCAGCGTGTTCTCGCGCTGCAGCTCGCAAGCTGCGCAGAAAAACACAAAAAATTTAAAGTTTTATGAGCAAGTTATAGTTTAGAGCAATGAGTAGTACTTGTTAATTTTTAGTGCATGTATGACTAGATATAATCGACAAGAAAGTGATCTTCTCGCATGATAGACCTGAAAAAATCATCATTGCATCAGGCGAAATAATTGTTCAGAGAATTTTTGATTTCTGTGAAGTTGCTAAAATCCTTAGGTTAGAGTTATGTAACTGTTCGCAAGCGGCACGATTTGCAAGAACCTGCCATCATGCGAGGTAATCTCGTTACATCAATACCTTCGTGTTGTAATTCGAGTGAAGTTATTTGGAAGCTTTAATCAATGTATACGCGCAGCGCTGTAAAGACGGTCGAGGACCGGTACAAAAAATACAACCATCGAAAGAAACAATGGAATCCTGTGTGGCTTTTACATCAAACGACTACAAGAAAGTTATCTAATTAAATACGAGTGCATTTATGAAAATTCAAAATTAATGAAGAATACACTCTGCGATATAAACGCTGCAAATCAGAGGAGGAAAGTATTTACCGCATGGATCCAGATGTACGGGCTAGCAACAAATAAACGGTATAAACCAAGTGTTCAGTATTTAAATTACGTTCGTGAGGTAAGGATTCCACGAAAAAAGAAAATATGTAGAAAAGAGAGAAAATTTGCCTAGCTAATAAGCGTCGCTTCAAAACGAGCTTGTTAGCAACAATGATGATGCAATATATAGAGCGATGAAAAAGCACGTTTTGTATGCGCTAAATTTTATGAAATACATTCCTAGAACTTGATTTATCAAGTAAAAGAAAATTATTATTTAAATATCAACATCTGAGATACGTGATGTTTACGAGTCCACGAAATACTGGAGATAAACATCTTTCCTCTCGCTACATCCCCGATCATTTCCGACGGGAACGTCTGGCCTCAATGTAGACATTCGTGAAGGCGCTATCACCGCGACGTTGGGCGCTCAATTGCCTGTAACTTGGAATTCTTCGGCGAGGCGATTCCGCTGTTCAAATTTACTAACCTCACCGGCAAATAAATATTCCTAGCATTGGTCAATTTGAGAAGACGGCGAGAAGAAAATTTGTTTAAATTGATGAGTTGCTTCAACATTTTTCATTCAGGGTAAGTTAACCAACATGTTTCTAGAGATTAGCTAAATTTTTTATTGTCTTAGTCAAAATTCTGTGAAAGCGAGTGGGTAAACTTACATTACTTCAATCTAAAACTAACGACATTACAATTGTTCTAGCCAATTTTAACAAATGCATTGCTCTTTTAAAACTCAAATGAGAGTCAATCAGAGAGTTTTTCAATCGGTAACCACACAGTGGCATTGTTTGCTAAACTCAGTGATTCTGGCAAGATTTTTAGTCTGGAATGTAAAATTAATTGGTGGAATCAATTTTCATTCAAATGACTACAAGGCCGATCGTGAGATACTCGTCTCCATCCAACTTTATCGAAGAGCGGAAGATGCTTCCACTGATGTTCATCGTATGCCGTTGGAAAAACTCAGCGGCTATCAACGTAGAAATGAAGCAATGAAAAAAGTAATGAACAGTTAAAATTCTTTGGTATAAATAAATTAAATATAGTATATTATAGTATATATAATATTCTTTAGTATAGTAAATAAAGAATCTATGCAATATTGATATTATTTGGAGCTGGAGCGATAAATAATCTGATCAAAATATTATCGCTTTCCTCTCTTCAGGAGGTATAGTAATGGTCAGACCTTGTTTCATAAAAGTATATAACATTCTTCTTTAAAATGTATATTTAAATTATACAAGACTTGCAAGCAGTGGCTTTTACTTACTTTTACTAGTGGCTTGCATGCACTGGCTGACTGACACATTGAAATGAGTGTAAGGAACTCCAAAATTGAAAAATTTGACGTTAATTACATCGTCTAACGACACGATGAGTCTGAGTTTCACTGAGCAGCGAGAGCGGGCGTACGTTGCTTCACTAATAGATGGCCGCCAGCAGCCACGGCCGCATAGCGCCGGTCAGCAGAGCTTCAGGGTCCATACTTTCAAAACTCGCTAAGTGAACGTAAGTACTTACGCTCTATTTTCTTGTCTATGATTGGTGGATTTTGCTTGAAAGGCCGCCAATGATTGGCTGATGAACTTACGATCTCTCAACTTTTTTTTCAAAGTATAGGCCCAGGCATGGAATTTGGGCACGAGTAAACGACAACAGCGCTTAAAATTAATACGGACGAACCAATGAAAAGGGCGGCAAGATACTGAATGAGAAAGTAATTAACGCTTAGAATATAAAAAGGGATATGACCCGCAGCACAATAGATGGATGCCGGGGGGTACGCAGCATAAACGATGCCAGAATAATTTAGTTGGTGTTTTGTTGAAGTTGTATGTACTGAAGTAATTTCAACAAGCACTTCGTAATTCCACAAGTTTAAATTAAAAAGCAATGCCAATTAAGTTGTGTAGATTCATCAGTGCAAATTATTCAACTGAATTGATTTAGCACTACAACTTTATATATCTCCTTATGTGCAAGTAAAGTCTTCAAATGAACCTGGAAATGGATTTGAATTGTATCATACAAATTGAAGTATAAAATTCTTCTCTTTATCGTATCTTACACATATATTAAAATTGTGAACTTTTGGGGAAGAAATTATGTATTAAGGAACTAAGCGCAATTTTTTAAAATATCCACGTAAATATAGGCTAAAAATATTAGTGATACTCCATATTATCATACATATATTTTACTTTAAATTGATTATTTTTCCACGACTTACTATACGAATAAGATTTCTAAGGCTGACAGGAGAAGTTGCGGAAGTCACCAGGAAACAAGAACGGTAATAAAACGGCGGGTTTTTATTGAAAAATCGAATCGAGTTTCAGTTAGGCTTACCATCGAGTAGAACACGGAACTTTTCCATATTCTTTTTTGGAATATTTAATATATGTTTAGAATGTTCCCTTTCGAAGATCTCGAACATTGAATATTTTATTTTAAACCCAAACAACAGATGCGCAAATGTTGAGAATGCGGAAGCGGAAACTCACGAAGAAGTACTTCAGGCGAATCTTGCGTCTCTAGAGTGCGACTTTCCACATATAGGCTAATTTAACACAAACTGCATCATTGCACAACAAACAGTTATTTTCCTGAAGTGCTTCTCTCTTTCACATTACACTCCATCCCTTCACATCAAACCTTCCAAGCCTTTACAACATATCAACCATCCACATAGACTACACATCAAACGTCGCAAGCCATCAAGGCTTCACATCACACACCCCTCACCCTGCCGACCCTCATGCCTCTCCCCTCACATCATCCTTCGATGCCGTCCGTGTCTACAATCATGGCTGGTCTTGTACGATGCAAATGAAGTAATGTTTATTTCAGGCGGCACGAAACTTCGCTCAGTAACGACGAAGCTCAGTCCGCGCACAAAAAAAATGAGGATAAACCAGGGAATAAACAGGGAATGAAGGCAGAACTAGCTGGTAAATGGCCGAAAAATGACGAAATATTGAAGCGTAGAATAGGTGAACAGTGGGCAAACATACGCGTGAAGCACATAACCGCACAGAAATGGCAAAAAAGGAAAAGGCACGTAGGGAACCCGGAAATCATTAAAAAAAAGTGGATCTAAATGAGGTTAAAACCCTAGCAAGAGTGACTATAAATCAAATCTGACGCGTTTTACACGAAAGAGCACAAATTATTGGCTTGCAGAAAAGCCAAGATCCGCGCTTGGAAAGTCTCGCACCAAAAGTAATTTCCCTGGGAGGTTAACTCGGGAACTTGAGACTATGAACGTGCCTCAACAGCCGAGAAAATAGTAAATAGTGATAAACATTTTCTTCTATCATCAAAGATTCACGAGTTTGTGTTTTATGCTGCGACGTTAATCGTACTTGCAGTAGGTAATTGCGCATTATATTTGATAAAAGTTGCTACCAATCACTAACCGAATTTTGATTAGAAACTCGTAAATACTTTTCATAAATACGGTAAACTTTGTATAAAGATCGGCTCTGAAGATTCAAATAAGGCGTTGCGAAGACGTGCTAGTCCTTAACCAATTTCGGACTTTAGGTGTAAAGTCTCAGCAATGTTTCCAGGTTGTAGTTCATGATTAAGGAAAATCGTGGTTTCCGAAACTAGTCATCATACTCAAACAGCGTGGTTTTCCCTACAAGAAGAAAAATTAATTATTGTTTAACTTATTCTTGTTCTTTTAGGAGAAACCATGCTGGTTGATGATGACTATAGTGTCGGACAATAAAAAATAATCAGTTTATAAATAAAATAATAAATAACCCTCAACCACAGCAATTTTTCACCCTAAAATTTTTTTAATTCAGATGCAAGAATTGCACAAAAAATTCCATCTGTCTGTTAATCCCCTAGAAGAATGACTTTCTTGGTTCTCCGCATTTCACAATACGATGACATCTGAACATTTAAAATGAACAATAAAATATTTTCCATTGCACGATCACCATATTATCAACATGTATCATTAAGAAATGCATATGCGATACCAAGATCTGGTGGAAAGGAGAGACGGGAGGAGTGCCCTCAGTGCCACAACAGGAGATCCTCGACCCTCTAATGAGGCCCTCAGGTGGCTCTCGTGAGGCGCTGGCGTGATGTCCTCCACAGAGGCCCTTATCTCCGTATTATCTTTGCCTCATGCCACTCCTTTTGGCCGCCATTCATTTCCGTGCAGAGGAGGCCATTGGACGGCCGCCTTTTTCAAATGTGATTAGCGTCTTGTCGACAGGGAGTCTTCCTCAGTCAGTCCCAAATGAATCAATTCATCAATGGAAAAGAATAATACAAGTCGAGAAAAGTTACAGTATTTTTGTATTGAAAACATTTGCAATGAAAATATGGTGAACTTCCTTAACATTTTATTCCCTCTCCGTTGCTTCGAGATCTGAGCAATGAAACGAGCATAATGGATGATATC